TTGAGGAGGTGTTGTTGGGTCTTCTGTGTGCACAAGGATGTACAAGGAGGTTTTGCTTTGTAAAGAGTCTAGGTGGTGCATGGTGTTTGGTTTTCTGTGCGCAGATGAGGGCTGCGATTGTGATGTCGAAGGTTGTCGAGGTGTTGAGTTTTCTGTGTGTAGGTGGAAACTGCGATTTTACAGATGTCAAAGTTATGTTGAGTTGTGAAAAACAGCTCTCATGGCAAAACCGATTGGAAATGTCAACAGAGCCAGTTTATGTTCATTGTTAATTGTCAGTATGTAGATGTAGAATGATGTAGACCAGGCGTCTTGGGTTTTATAAGGGGTTTGCTTGCTAGCAAACATTGCCTGCCAGCCCGGAACCTCAATTCTATATAATATATATATATATATTTAAGTTATATATATATATTTCTAGAGAGAGAGAGGGAAAAATGATGAGATTGGGGGTTGATTGTTTTGGCATTGTGGCATGGAGACATTGATCCTTAAGAGTTTGAACCCGCAAATTATATATCTATAGAATCTATAGTATGTCATCCCTGGGTACTGCGCTGGACTTTCTCCTCGATATTGAGCAGGAGTTATTTGCACTCGGAGCTTCGTGTTTGAGATTGTTTGGATCCCTTGGCAGAAATCGAAAGTCAAGTTGACTTGAAGCTGCCGATTTGTGTTGTTTCTCCGAACCAAATCCTGTTTTAACATTTGCGTTGTCCGATGTCGTTGGATGTCCAAGGTCATCATTGACAGTTTCTTCCAGGAGAAAGGGCTGGTCTTCCAGCAGCTTGGGTTCGGCGCCCATGCTGAAGAGATTCAAGCAAACAGCATTTTCGGGCCTCACAATCCTCACAATAGATTTGCCAATAATTGAACATCGGCAGCTGTGCCAAGTCTGGCTGATCTGCCAGATCAGTCAAATACCCTGAGGTCTTTTGACCAGTTCATCGTTTATGAGATGCAACGGGTTGTGGACGTAGTGCCCTCAGACTTGCCTTGTCCCGCAAGTCGATCAAGCCTGAAAGTGGCAATCGATTTCTCCAAGGCCCAGACACCAATTGAATGCACGCCGCAAGACCAGTACAATCCGGAAGAAAACGTGGACACTTGGACTTGGAACACACATGTTGGAACAACTGCAAGGCGGTGGTAGCAAAACCATTGCCCCCTGAGTTCCCGGAAATACATCCTCGTCAAATTGCTGGAGACTAAACCTGTTCCGTTGAGCTGCAAATCCAAGTGTTCAGGATCCTTGTAAGGATCGGGATTGGTTGATCAGTTGAGTCGCTAATATCTACCTATCGATCTATCTGTCTGTCTATCTATCTATCTATCTATCTATCCATCCATCTATCTATCTATCTAGTAGCTTTGTGACCTCGGAGTTTGCCAGGCCTGTAACTCATGACATTAGTTTCCGATAGCTTCCAAAGGGTCAGACAGTGGCGCTGTATTCTCTTGATTGTACATGTCAATAAATACGCGCTGATACATTTGCCACAGCGAGTGTTTTAGAACAGCAAGCCCATGCCCAGGACAGCAAGAAAGAGCGGCACTGAGACAGACTTAATGGTTTGCATGGAGTTTAGACAGACAGAATGTCCAAAATAGACGCCGGCCAGCGTAGGTCTATGTTTGGAAGTTTGGTCAGCTACACTTCAACAAGTGTGGACCTCGGAGTTGCAGAGCAATATCTCAAAGTCATGATGGCTCAAGTTCTAATTGTAAGGGCTTCGCCCTGGTGCCGCCGACCCCTATATATTGGTCGCGCAGCAGGAAATTCCCCCCACATGCTTAGAGAGGATAGTCGAAAAGGCATAGAGTCCTGAACAGAATAACAGGACGACAGCAACAGGAAGGCGATTTGGGACACTGCAGATTTGACGCGGTGGGACTTCCAGCGACGGCGATGGAAGATGAAGGTCGAGGTTGAGAGAAGCAGTGGGCCTGGGTTGAGTGTTGCTCGGCTCAAACACGTGGGCTCAACTGAAACTCAATTTCTGCGTGCAACAGCGGTCGGAAAGGGTGCCCGACGGCAGAGCTGACCCACAGGACTGCATCGTAGCAGCCTAGGTGATGGCCACAGACCTGTCCTATCTGATGGCCACTCCCAGACAAGGCACAGGGCGGCCTGCTGCCCTGTAGACTGCCCAAAACGGGCTGGTGTCGCAGCGCAGGGTTTCCGGCCGGGCAAACGACACCATCTGTTTCTGCCCACAACAGCGGTCGGAAGGGGGGTGCGCCCACTGCCTAACGTCGCTTTCGAAACCCTATAGAAAAGAAGTGCGGGATCAGATGATGGCCACACCTATCCTGCTACGCTGAGTAGCAGCAGGTGATGGCCACCAGACGGCAGCATGGCCACTCCCAGACAAGGCCGTAGTAGCTGTAGCAGCAGCCCGCCCACTGCCTAACATCGCTTTCGATACCCTATAGAAAAGAGGCGCGGGACGAGGTGATGGCCACAGACCTATCCTGCTACGCTGAGTAGCAGCCCAGGTGATGGCCACCAGACGGCAGCATGGACCAGGCTCGGACTGAGGCGGGATGTCCCTGCGGCAGAGGGCTTGGAGTCCGAAGACTCCCTCCCAAGGCTGATGGCTCCAGAACAGAAGGCCGTCCACTCGCAGGTCTTCCATGAGTGCGCAGGTCTCCAGCAGGTTCGGAACCGCATAGCAGCAGCCCATGCAGGTAGGTGGCCACAGGCAGGTCTTGCTAACCAACTGACCGAAAGCAAGTTGAGCAACCGCTTCACCCTGTGGTGTCCCAGGCGCCGCCCCGCCTAGGCGTCAACTAGGCAGGGGTCGGCGGATTTGCCTCCGGTCATGCATATTGATATCCCAACGCAAACAAGTTCCCACATACCACCAATGCCCGCCCTGCACTCACTTATAGCTCTTTCAAGCAAGTCTTTTGCTTCTTTCAATTCCCGGCCCAACCGAGTCCCATAGTAGTTCCTATAATGTATTTATGATTCTTTGCGTATAGTGTATTGTGTATGTATTTTTAATGTGCAGGCCAATGGAAGGTGCATGCTTTTGGTTGGGCTTATGAAAACAGACTGCTTTCGGTTCTTTCGCAACAAGGCCGACAGTGGATGAGACAGGGGGCGTTGCTAAGCAGCTGACCCCTCGAGAGGCTTGGAATTTGCTGTATTCTGGGCAGCTGGCATTTGAGGTTTTATAAACGCAATTGTTCATATTTTGGCTCCTTTAGTGAGAAATTCCAAGGCCCTCACAGGGGGGAGCTCACTCGAACTTGAGGCTCGCCTCCGAAATGAGTCTTATGCAGCTCCGGTATACGTGGACATCGAAAGGACGACTTACCAAGTCAACAGCGCTGGAAACTTAGACTGAGGTAAGGTATGGAGACTGCATAAACATAGACGAGTAGTGAAGGGATAAGGCAGAGGCTTCAGAAGAGTTTTCCTTCTGCAAATTGTGATTGCCTGTCTTCATCCAAACAGCGTGAAACTGAAGTATCAATGCAATCAGAAGGATGGAAAACTCGACATTCATCCCATATTAGGGCAAACGTGAGATCAAAGTAAGTTTATTTGAGGGGAGCCCTTCAGTACATTCAAGACTATTAAAAAGGTTTCAATGAAGAACCAACAAAAGCCAGCTCGTCAACTGCCGCAATGATCTTTCAGCTTCGAGATAGAAACGGCTGCAGCCGATGGGGCCGATCAAGCTGATGGGGCCAATGAAGTCGACGTAGCCAGTCGGCCGACCAGCCCACGAACGACGAAGTCATTGGCAGGGCCGATGTTGGATGATTTTGACTGGGGTGTTTGCTTGGCAAAGACGGCACGCGCGTGCAGAATTCGACAGATCCGATAAGAACGCAGCAATCACGCACCAGAATGGGCCCTGCAAAATGCATGGCAAGCATCCAAGGCAAGGGGCTTTGCACTGCATCCTCATCCAGTTTATTTGCACCATCCTCATCCTGATCCTGCGTCCTCACCCATAATATCCCCATCCTGGTTCATCCTATTTGTAGCAGTTGGCTAAGCCTGTCAAGCATTCAAATACGTATGTGTTTCATCGTTTTTCGCAGGCTTGGGGTGATCAAGATGTTCATGAATTCCTTCAGGCCTTTCTCCTGTGGATCAGACCCATGCCTGGATGTTCACTAGAGGCATAATTATGTAGAGATGGGCTAGAGCGTCAGGACAGTTGATGAAGGCATCCATTTACACCACGGCCCACACTGTCCTTGAGGAAGATGACTGATAAAGTGCCGCTTCAACCGTCAGCCCTTGTCAACACAATTGGTCACAGCATTGCAGGAAGCAAGCTCGTTCGTGCGCATTGTCATTAATGCTCTCAGGATTCCTCAGGCGGGTCAAGTGGCATCATGTAGACCTTGCGCCTTGCCGTGAGCACCGGTGCCCTGCTGACCTCAATGAGTACGGTCTTTGGCCTTGGCTGTACTGGGAACAGAGTACAGACTGGCAGCTGCTGACAGTACTGAGAGGCTGAGTAAGTGGATCACCCTTTGACAATTCGAGATTGATCTTGAATCTTTGGCCCGCCACGGTGCCTGCTGCAAATTACTTTCCGCGAACCAAAGCCACAAGCCAAAAAGGGAACTGGTTCGTCCTGATCATCCACCCGCATCTTCATCCATGCCCACGATCCCTACTCCTTTTCCCAACATGTCCAACAAATTATCCCAACATAATCCAAGAGACCCCAGGCCGGCCAATTGAAGGACCCTTATTTACATGTATGGGAAAGTAAACATGAGATGCGCGTGTGGATCCACGTTGATTTTTCTTGTGGTTACGAAAAAGAAGAGGAAAGGATACACAATACCGCAATTCATCAGTATTCATTGTAGTTCATGTTGATGTCACTCCAAGGATGGGGAAAGAACTTTGATAGGAGAAGACAACTACTCGAAGATCTTTCTCATGAAGATGCCAATCATGGTCAGGACATGTTCATTTATGATGAAACTTGGAAGCTGTCAGCTTTGCCAATCTTCCTGCAGGACAGAGTACTGTTGGCTCAAAAATGCAAATGATCGTATCTTGCTAGCGCTTGGTAGCTTTGGTCATTGGTTGCTCCAAGTATCAAGTATCCAGAAAGTCAGACTGAGGTGTCCTCACTGAATTTGGTGAATGCGAGGGCCTTTACTTTAAAAGTTGGCCACGGGAGGAAGCAAGAACAAATACTAGTCATGCTTGAGAGCAAGCAAATGTAGAAGAGTCGAAGATGCTAAGTAAATCCAAGCAAACTGTCTAAATTTGGCTCCGCATGGTTTTCTTCCCGAGGTCCTTTGGATCAGGGTGGGTACTTTGTCATCAATGGTGCCACACACATAAACTTCATCAGGCCATCACTCGAAATGTTGGTGCCCGCCTTTCAGGTTCAGAGAAGGTGCTGATTGCCTTGGAACGCATGGCAAACAATTTTGTGCAGTGCTCGGCTTGTTTTTGCACGTTGACTGAATGTCGTGAGCACTATATAATATATATATATATCATATACGTATATGTATGAATGTAGTTCGATGATGTTATTTGCAGGTCTATGCATTCGCAAAAAAGCAGCCTTCAAAATATGTTGCGAACTCATGGCGAATCGACGGACAGTCAGCTGTTTCCCAAACCAAACAAGCAGTCCTGGTCAAGGCTCCTGGCCACGCGACATGATACTCTATGCTTTTAAGGCATGGGTGTGCGAGATCCGGTCTGCACTCTTCGAAGGCTCTGTGGGCTTCTGAGTCTCGTGCTCCACTTCTTCGGTGCACTCACACAAATCAAATTGGCAACATGTATTGAAAACATTGAAGTTGAAACCTCATAGTTTGGTCATGTTTGTTTTTGTTCTTTCTCAAGATGACTCACAACTGAGCATGACCCAAACGAAGTGCTGCTGAGGCCGGCAACTCTGGGTTTGCTGTTAAGCTGCTCACAAACATGGGCTCACTGTGGCATGTTGAAAGGAAGATGCTTGATCGCTAGGTTTTTGAAAAGAGCAGTGCGCTGATGCAGCATGTGTCCTTTTTGAGCATTTCACAGTGTGTGTATTTATATATATATATATGCAAAAGTTGAGGCACTTGGTTAATCTTGGTTGAACATGATGGCATCCTGGCTCTCACGTGTTTTGACTATTTATGACAGTGTCTAGACTCTAGACCGAAAAGAGCTCCAGTTTCACAAACTGGGTGGCTTTGTTCAGCGCGCTGCTTGTGAGTAAGGCCTTTTGGATGGACTCTACTCTGTTTGTTTGAGCTAAAGGAAGACCGTTCCTAGGCCCAGGCAGCCACAATACTTTCTTTCGGTCATCGCAATACTGTTGCTGAGTAGTAACTGGCAACCTTTTTGCCAATTGCCATCCATGCCGAGGTAAGGTTTCAAGGCATGCTGATGTTTACAAAGTGTGCCAAAGCAAGAGGGAAAGATAATGAAAGATTAAATCTGAAGGAGAGAGATGATCAAGAAGGATGCAAAGCACGATAGGTAAGGTGCATTTGTCAAGTTGAGGTCGCAAAGTACTTGGCAAGGTTGTGTCAAATGTCACAGACTTGCGGAAGGTTCTTTGAGCAGTCGAAGTGATACAACATTGACCTGTCTACCTTGTCATGACCTGTCTACATTTACATTTGTCAACGAAATGTGAATGTATCGTGATGATTGTTCACACGGTTTGCACGGCGCGGCGATTGCATCAATTTTGGAAGCACAAGGTGGACGAGGTAATTGTGCAAAGGCATTTTTGGGACTACCGGGGTGCTAGACAGAGGTTGAACAGCCAGCAAAACAGCATCAGGTGGGTTGCCGGAATATGGCTGCTTTGCAATTGCCTGGCATGCGGACCATGGGGCATATCGGTGTAAATGAAATGCAGGACAATTTTCTGCAGCACAAACTGATGGGTCCATCAATTGATTGCCATCGAGTCGACAAAGTCAGTTCATGTTGGATCCTGATTGGTAAAGCGCCCGTCCCTCTCCTTCTAAACAAATGGCGGACCCTTTGTAATAAAGCTACCACCAAAACAAATCTGGATTCCTGGAGGATTCCCTTTGCAATTGATTGTTGTATTAGTTGTCCTTTCATACTGGTAGATTGTATCAATTGTCCTTTCTCAGCTTGTTTGTATTCTCGGCCTCAGATCTTCAACTCAAGAACTGGAGAAACCTACAAATATCAATTACAGTATATAACTGGTTGCCATTGCCTTAGTAGCATTAAGATCTCAGGAAAGGATCTATTTTCCCTGTGAAAACACGTTTGACGATTGATGACCCATGGGGTAAATCCCATTATTCACGATCAGGCGCCTTCCTGGTTTACTACCTTGAAAATTTGTGTAGGAGCAATCTTCACAGCAAGTCCTTTGATGGCATTGGGAAGCTGTCCCGTCAGTTTGGAAGAAGAACTAAAGAAACCTGCATCTATTATGTAATTACGTTTTGCTTTAGTAGTATTAAGACCGTAAGAAGGGATACAGGAATATGTCCCACAGTGAAAAACTGTTCACAACTATTAAGAACCCATTAAGCAGCTCTATTTTTCAGGACCAGGTGCCTTCCTGCCACTTACTACCTTGAAAAAGTGTTTAGGAGCAATCTTCACATCAAGGATTCATAAAGGACTATAATTGCCGTTGCTTGAGTTTCCGTGGTGAAGAACTTTTCACAATTATTGCGAACCCACAAGCAAATCTACTCAGGATCAGGTGCCTTCCTGGAAGAAACCTAGCAAATTTGTTTTTAACAATCTTCACATAAAGGGTTGATAAAGGAGTTGATGGCTTTGGGAAGCTGTCAGTTTTGACGAAGAACTAGAGAATCCTGTAATCATCTATTTTCTAACTACTTACCATTGCTTCAGTAGTATTAGCTACCATTGCTTCAGTAGTACTAGCTACCATTGCTTCACCATTGCTTCAGTATAAGATCTGCGCAAAGAGGCATCTAAGGCTAAGAGGCAGGCCTTCCTCAGCCAAGGACTAGGGTTTTAGCGCAATAGAAAGCCCTTAAAACAAATATGGTGGTCTGAATTTTTTCCATTACGGAGGACCCATGTACTAGTCAGGGTCCAACAATACACATTCAGCTTTTTGGGTCTCGCAAGATCCCACACACATTGAAGAACCTATTAATGGCCCTGCAGCTTTGTTTACAGGGGCGCTTCTGTAAAAAACTCAACCAGCAGTTTATGCCGGATCAGCCAACTCACCTCTCAATTAGCTCATCAGTCAGCCAACACATCACATTGCAAACCGATGCCCAACAACAAGCTAACCCAGCACCTGGTTCACTCAAACTTAGTCCAACGAGCCCATGACTTGCTTGCCGACACTTCATTTGGCTGTCTCAGAGCTTCAGCTAGTTCACCACTCAGCTGTGCCACAGTGAGATGATGAGATGATTTCGCTACAAGTTTGTTTCATCAACTACTTCGCTAGACCCCAATGCAGTTTTTGCTGAATTGGTTTAGTGCTTAGCATGGCAATAGGCAAAACTTGTAACAATTGCGACCCTTGCGTCACATGCATGGCAGGTTCGAAGTCATACTGTCGAGGTCAGCTGGTTTGCACATGTGCCTGCCTCAGTCTAAATTTGCCGCCTGTTCGTTTATTGTTGTTTTCTGAGCAAATGGTTTCAACCAGAGTCAACGGTTGAAAGCACCATGGTTGCCGTCGCGATTGTTCCTGAGACAACTCATTGTCTACACTTTGCCCGCTCTATAGACAGATTGACGTGGGCACAAATGCACGCGCGTAATGCAATGTAATGCAACGGGCGCAAGGCGTTGCACGAACGTATGTAATGCTTTAATGTATGTAATGTGATGTATTGTATTGTATTTTATGTATGTATGTATGTATGTATATATATATATTTTTTTTGTCCAGCTCTTTTCCGCAGTGGAAGTTCTCTCTGTCTGGTCTCATGCCAGCCACGACCTGATGTCAGTCGACCTCGGCCTCGAGCACGGGTTCTTCAGCTTTTTCGTCAGGACGACCTGCTCGCCCTGGAGCTTTGTGCGCAAGTGGCACTTCTGGCATTCCAGGCTGTTGCCAGTGCGGATCATCTCGTGTGTTGGATGTCCATGCCATTTTCCTGACTCCAAAGGTCCATGATGGCAAACCTCACCCAAGAAGCGGTGGAAAATTTCTTCTCCAGCTCTTGCTAACACGTACCCTTTGCAGCGGTCACAACGGAGGTACGCTTTGTCAAGCCTCAAGCCTCAAATGATGAGTGCCATCTTCAACCTCCCCTTGGGCTTCCAAGAGGTCGTGGATGACCTCGAAGCGGGTCTTCTTCGAGGCTCTGCCCGGCACTGCATGTGTGCAGGCAGTGCTCAAGCCCTCCTTGATCTCCTTGATCATAGACTTGGAGTGGTAGCGCTGTTTGCAGTGACTGCATTGGCACTGGGTTGGGCCAGGAATTGCTCAAGAAGCTCCTTCTTTTGTTGGATGAGAGGAACTGTGTGGTTTTCAGGGAGCACCTCTTTCTTGTGAAGAAAGTGAGCTTTGTCTTTGAGAAGGAACTCCATTCGCCGAGCTGCAACATGCAAGATGTCTCGAGTGTCTTCATCGATGTGTCGTTGAAGATCCATGATCTCTTCCGGCCTGGCAATGAGAGCTGCCTGGGTGGCCTTGGCTTGTGTGTCTTGCTGAAAGGCTTTGCGATTGGGATTGGAGTCCATCTCCTTGGTCTGAAAGAGCAAGAGTTTGATCTGAGCGAAATCCTCTTGTTCAAGTCCCTGGCAGAGATCAGGGAATTTCTCGTAGGCAGCCCATGGGTTCCAGGCATTCCAAATGGCCTGATTGAAGACCGCAACATGGACCTTATCTCTGGGATGCAGAGACATGTGCTTCAGGCCATAGAAGAAAGCCCGGAGGCGGGTGGCTTGTCAGGGGCAGATGCTGGTCAAGGAGCCAACTCGCTCTTTGGACTGGATGTGGTGGATGCAAATGGCGAAGGCGAATCGTTTGCGTCTGGGATCTCTGCAGGTGGGCGCAATGGCCAAGGAGACTGCATGTCCAGCAGGAAGGGCGCACGCTTCCAAGGATTCCCATAGTCCCTCACCATTGAAAGTGGCCATTCCTCCATCTTGTATGTAGAAGATGGACTGGGTCATCCCCCTGTTCCAAAGTCCTGGTTCTGGTTGTATTGTATTTTATTGTGTTGTATTGTATTGTATTGTATGTATGTATGTATGTATGTATGTATGTGTATATATGTGCGTGCGCGTGTATGTATGTATATATGTATGTATATATGTATGTAATGTAAAAGTAAAAGTAAAGTACAAGTACAAGTACAAGTACAAGTAAATGTAATGTAATTAAGTAAGTAAGTAAGTATGTATGTATGTATGTAGGAGTTAATCTAAAACCCCGTGCGATAAGTTCTATATAGCCTTTCACATGTTGTTAAAACCATTCGCGAAAGATTCGCGATGAAGTTCGCGAAAGTATCCTTTTTTCCGCGAAAGAATTGTCGAAGGTCTTTGCTTTCCTATGTTTTCGTTTCTACCGACCGACAAATGGTAGAAATACAAAGCAACCCAGAGCTGGTGGGTGGAAGTGTCCCCGCGTGTCCTTATTGTCACAGACTAACAAGCTGAAGCCTCAACATTTCCTTGCCCAGCCCTCGCAGCGTGTAAAGGACTCTCCGATTCCTGTCCCCACTGTCACAGACTAGCAACAGACTAGCAATCTGAGCAAGCGCAGCCCTGACAGCGAGGCAACGACCTGCAGCTGCTCCGAAGGGCTGCGCAGATGTTTGCAAAGTGCTACGTCTTCCCGGGGAAGTCACCAATGAAATTCCGCGAAAGTTTCGTGAGCGCGACGCTGCCCCCAACATTCACCAAGCTGCATTGCCCTGTGTTGGTAGCTGGCGCGAGGAGTGGGTTGAGTTGTGGCTGACTCTAGTCACGGTCTACTCTAAGCTTCAGCCAGGACTTAGGATACTGTTTGTCGCACAGGTGTCGCACACATGCTGCAAGTAACCCTAACTAGCTGTGGAAACTCTCAACCTTCTGCTGGGGCCACGCTGCAGGATATCAGTCCCAAATTTGTGATACAAACATGAATATATAGTTCCCGCTCATGTTAGCTAGGCATGGTTGTCGGACCATGCTTCGCGATGAGGCCGCGAAAGACATTCTTTTTCTGCGAAGAAAGGCCATTCCAGGATGAAAGAACTTTGATCAGTCACAATGTATGTATGTATGTATGTATGTGTATGTATGTATGTATGTATGTATGTATGTGTATGTATGTATGTGTATGTATGTATGTATATGTATGTATGTATGTATGTAATTATGTATGTGTGTTTTGTTTTGCTTTGTAAATATGCAGTGTATGCAGCGCACGCGAAGCAAGTCAAAGCAATGTCAGCAATGTTATGTACTGTATGTCACGTTGCGTAGCGTTATGTAATGTTTGGCATTGCATGGCATGGTATGAAACGGTATCTACGGTACGGTATGGTATGGCGGGAACGGATGCGAACGGAATGCACGTACGTCGTACGTACATACGCATATGTATATACAGTAATGTAACGTAGCGTAATGTAACGTGTGTATCTAACGCATGTATTGTTGTACGCTGTAATGTATGTGTACGTGCGTTTGCGTTTTCTTTTTGTTCCCCAAACAGTGTGGTAACACCCGGGCTCTTGCGGTAGCAGTTAAGGCCGGGTTCTCGTCGGCGTGTCCGGCTAATTCGTTGCTAGTTGCAGTACACTCATTCACCTCGAGATCTTCGAAGTGCATTCGACTGCGCAGGCTCGCAGGAATTGGCGGGCGCACGCGTGGGCGCTCCTCTCGTCGACTGCGCTCTCGTTGAGGGGGCTGCTCGCGTTTTCGGACTGTCGCTTTTCGTCGCAGGCGCAAGGGGAACCTCGATCGTGCTTTGGTGACGCAGGCTCAGGAGGTCGGAGCGGCTTTACTTTGACGCGCAGATTTCCTGACAGGCGCGGTACTTCGGACACGGCGGCAGTCCTTGGCGCGCTCTGATTTCGTTGCAGGCGCAGTGAAACGTGACTTATGGACATCTGGCTCGTTTCAGAAATTGGGGCATGGCTGGCTGCTGATGCGCAGTTTTTGTGGCAAGGGGCGCAGTGCTTATAGTGGCCCGCGCGGGTGTGTGCTCTCTAGACCCTCCAGCCCTAGATCTCTGCACCCAGACCATCAAATTCCAGAAAGGCTTACATCATGCTGCTAAGTCTTCACACGCCACGCTGCTAAGTATTCACATGCCAAGCTGCTAAGTATTCACATGTCATGCTGCTAAGTAGTCACTTTTTGGTTCTTTCTTTCCTGCTGGCGCTTGTCGTTTTCTAGGTCTTTCTCGTTTTCTAGAGGCTTTTTAGGTGTAATTCAGGCCCTTTAGTCAAAGGAGCGTCGTTGACGGCTTTTCGTCAACGCCTTCGGGCATGGACCCCCACACCCCTCGCACCTTTCGTTCCTTGCCTTTTTCGTTTGCTTGGGCTTTCCTTCAGGCTTGTTAGGTCGACGTAGTTTAGGCTAATTTAGGCTCGTTTACCTTTCTTTCCTTACCTTTCCGCTTGCCTTGTTCTTTCTGTCAGGCTTATTAGGTTGGCGTCCAGGCTCGTTTAGTCAATGCACTCCCGCACCCTCTTTCCCCCCTCCCCGCGGCCAAAAAAATCAACGAGCGCCGACTTACGGCCCTGTGTGTGTGTCCACACCTGTACCGAAGGACTTTTAGCGCTATACCGTGCAGGGAGCCACAGACCTGCCACTGCCGCTGTGGCCAACGAAGACCAGCAAAACGCACCTGCAAAACTGTCGACAAGCTGTTCTCCTTTCGGTTTGCTTCTCATGGTGGTTCTCACGCTATTCCCCTAAACCTTTCCCTTTTTTGTCTGCTAGGTATTCAGTAAAGCGGCTAATGCATAGGCGGTCTGCTAGGTATTCAGTAAAGCGGCTAATGCATAGGGACTGCAGACTTGCACCCAACAATTGTTCAAACACCTTCAAGTCTTCTGACCTTTCGCCTTTCGGTTGACTCATTCTTTTCCTCGGGAATTTCACAACTGACTCAGCTCTTGCGAGCATCAATCTAAGTGTGTGTGTGTTCGGCCTTGATGGCACATGAGAGCAATGGGTGTATATTCAACCGATGCTCAGATTGAAGACATGATCATGTTTTCAAAAACGTTTAGGCCGTTTTCCTCGTCAAGGGTGGTGGATCACGTGAAAAGTGATCAGGTAGGTCAAATTGCGTACAAGGTGGAAGATGTCCCTGGGATCACTGGCGAAATTTGAAGAAACCCGAAGAAGGGCTCGACGACGGGAAAAGAAATACTCACCCAGCACTAGGCGGTGTGACTGAGGGCGCCCGCAAGCCTTCTTGCGGCCGCAGGCTTGCGCATGTATGAAATGTAACGCAATGCAGTGTAATGTAATGTAATGCATGTATTTGTTTCAAGCAGTGTGTCCAAAAAGTGGATGGAGGGATTTTTTGCCCTGCCATGGAAGTGACTTAGAACTAAAGGGTATCAGCCGTTTGAAACTGTGCCTGGCTGATGCGCGCGAAGGAGTGGTGTTCTTTATGTGCAAACGCTGCACTCAACTTGGAGCATTACTTGAGTAGTCGTTGAATCCTTGAAACAAAAATGAATCTGAATTCTGGTACGTGCAGTTGCCAAAGAGAGATTAGAACAGCAGCAGCACAGGTAGTTGTCGTCGTTGTCGTGGTGGAAATGAAAAACATTTTGTGAACAAAATGGATAAGTAAGAACGGATCTATGTGTTTCATTATGTTTGATGTAGTTGATGTATTGAAAAGTTTCATTTAGCAACCTACCCTTGCACACTCAAGTCGATGGAGACTTGTGGGGTCGCGCCATTGCAATGCAAACCGTCAACCCTGCCCGCACAACTACGGTCCGAGGCCCATATATTCGTACAGAGATTCCACTGGTGGTGATGTTCCGGGCCTTGGGAATTGTGGCTGACAGAGACATCTTAGAGCGCATCGTGCCCTTCCGGCTGAGTTGTTGTACTAGAAGCGGTCAAAGAATCAAGATGGTCACAGACAGATGTTGGGTGTATTCCTTGATATTCTTGTTATTTTTACACTCGGTAGTTGGCCTACATGACAGGTTCGACATGAGCGATTTTGCGATGCTGAATGCATGCCGTTTATCCATCGAGGACGCCGTAGTCAGGTAGAAAAGGAGGGTCAAAAAATTGTTCCCGGTGGCCTGAGGATGAAGGAATGGCACCTTGTTCGTAGTTCAAACTCATAGTCATAGACTTACCAAAGCGATTTGGACAACAGCTTTCAGATGACTAGACTTGTTGTCCAATCTGTTGTAACATGTTGGGCCAAGTCATTCTTGTCCCAATGTTGTGAGTTGTCAGAATGGTTGTGAGCCTCCAGAATGGTGGATGGCGCTACCCGTTGCCGCATCGCACCATGTTCGATTCCCGTGGGTAGAAACTCAAGCCTACTATTGTGTAGAATTCACAAAGAGCATTGAACACTGTTTTTGGTGAAGTAAGAAGATTAAAACAAGCAAAGTAGAACGGAAAAAAAGACATTGAGGGGGTGGAGAGAACGGTTGATCGCGCTTTCCTCGCTGTTGTGATCACACTGTGAGTTCAGCAGGCTCTCAAGCGCAAGCGTCCAGTTCTGTACATTCGTTCGGGTGAAAAGGCTTCCACAAAAACCACCCTGCCTAAGGGGAGACCTTGAATGAAATGACATGTGTTCGACGGATTGCTTTCATTTATGATCCGAGGGGTTGCAATGTTAAGTAGCTGATGCTGTTTTAGAGGACACGTAGGATATTCGGAGAAGCCAGTTTCAGTTTCACATGTTGGCCATCTGAAAATGATTGAAAACGGCCATAGCGCATTCAAATGCCATTTCCAAAGCCTGACAGTTTCCTATCAAGACCCAGAGGCATCACGGTGCTTCAAGAGTACTAGCTTGATTGATCTATTTCCGTGAATATGATTTTGCGCCCAAGTGAAGTTTAGGTATCCAAAGTTTAGGGAAGTATAAGGCCCGATCATTGGAGGGCTGTCTTTGTTCCCAAAGGATGTTTTTTCCCGAATGCGTAGCGAAGGGTTCTCGTTTAACTCTGGGGGTCTGGGGGTAGAGCCTTGTTTGCGACCCGTGGTTTCTAAGTTCGCAACCGTCCGCAACCGTTTGCAACCGTTCGCAGTAGAGCGCTAAGGCGCTGCCGTTGGGGGAAGCTTTTGGAGAGGGTTTCGGATGAAAACGTGACGTGTCAGATTCGTGTCAACTGGCGTGGAATCGTGTGGAAATGTAAGATGTTGAAATGTGGAGGAAGATTTCACTGCGCAGGCGCAGCGTTTTGTGAGATCCACAGTTTTCTGCACAGCTCCATTGGGATTAGCGTTTGGAGAGTGGTGTTTTTGGGGTGTTGGATGTGGCCGTGCCATTGGGATTTGCGTTTCAGAGTGTTGCATCGAAGCTCTGTTTTCGTGACAAGTCTCAGCTGAAATGGCGATTTTGGTGGATGGGAGTTTGCTCAGAACGGGTGGAAAGCATGCCAAACGTGTGGTGTGGTGCAAATGTTGTTGAAGCTCACATGAGATGATATTGTCACTTTTCGTGGCAGGCGGAGTACTTTGTGCAGGCTGTGAGTGGACGCGGAAAGATTCGTGGCAGGCAAGGAATCGTGAGGTTGTGAGTTGTGGGTGAATGTCGCTGTCACATTGGGATTGGCGCGTGAGCGGGTGTTGTTTGGAGGGGCTGGAATCGCGAAACTGCTTGGCAGGGCTGCGTGATGTGTATGCTCCGACGGGTGTTTCCGCTTGACTTTTGGAGGAAGTCTTGTACGAAACGGTCTTGTACGAAATGCTCGTTTTGGAGACTTGATGTGTGACTTTTGGAGGAAGTCTCGTACGAAACGCTCGTTTTGGAGACTTGACGCGTGACTTTTGGAGGAAGTCTCGTACGAAACGCTCGTCTTGCATCTTCGAAGCGTGACT